GACACTGTGGGGCCGACGCACCAACCCTGAATCCACCTACCTCCAGGCTTCTTGCTAGGTGAAATGAATATGTGTCCAAACCCTCAGCCCACTGTGAATTGGTACAGGAAGGCATGTGCATTGTTCTGGCTTCTTGCCCCACATGGAGGGACTTAAGCTAGTTTAACACTCTGAGCCTCTGTCCCCACTGTTCAACCACACAGATGACTCAGAAGCTGAGCACCTTCAGATCTGGGACCATCTTCCTACAAAGCAGTGCACTCTGCTTTTCTCTCCACAATGTAGCAAGATTAGAGGAAGAGCTGCCTTGTGAAGGAGGTCTATGCCCTATGACCATACAACTCAGTGTGTGACAGGGGGAATGTCAAAAACGGCCCCCCAGGACAAGCCACCCTAATCCCCAGAACCTGTGATATGACGAGATATCACCCCCCCAACTGCAAGATCAGATGTGGTACAGTTGACCCCAAGGCAGGGAGATCATCCTCCCAGGCCTGATGTAATCACCTGAGCCTTTAAGAACAGAGAACTTTCTTCAGTTCAGCCTGAGGGGAGTCAGACAGAGTCAAAGCTTGAGGAGGATTCTGCATCTCAGCTCTATAACCTTAGAGGCTATTTTTTTTTTTTTTTTTTTTTTTGCCAAAACCTGCATGAGCCTGGAAGCAGATTCTTCCCGGGATCGAGAGCCCAGTCTGGCTCACACCTTGATTTTGGTCCTGCGATATGTTGAGCATACCCACCGTCCAAGCCCACAGGACCACTGACCTACAAAGGTGAGACACAACCAATGGAAGTTTGAAGCTTCTATGTCTGTGGTCGTTTGTAACACAGCAAGAGAAAACTAGTAAGTCCTTTTGGCAATAGAGACAAAGTTGTATTCTCTGGTCAGCTGGTCAGCTGTAAGGCTGACATTTTTATCTCTGTCTGACTCCTCTATTTCTCAGTTCTCAACTCCAGGGGAGAAGAAAGAGTTTTTATTTATTCACTCCATTAAAAATGGAGTGAATAAATAAAACATACAGGCATTTGATTATTCTTCAGCCAAAAGCAAAACCTAAGTCACGCAGTACCCCTCAGCTACTCTTCAAAATGAGGCTCAGACATGGAATATGTTAAAAGGATCTAAACCAGAATCACCTCCGAACACAGATACTTGGAAGGTTGTGCTCATAGTATACATTTTCTCCACAAAAAAAGTCCTCTCCTCCCAAGAGCTGAGAGAAAACCTAGCAGGCAAAGAAAGAGACCTAATAATCATCATGCAGATTTTTTTTTTTTTGTAAACAAGCCTTCCCCATGGGAACTGGAAATTCACCACTCCAAGTTTTGCTGGTTTGTACAGTTTTATTGTCCAACCACCAACCTAAGCAACTGGCCTTTTAAATGAAGCTTAAGGGAATGGCCAAGAGCTTTCAGATTTTCTGCCACAACCTCATGTGCAGAAAGGGAACCACTGCCCATCAGTCATCTGAGTGTTCAGCAAGTATGCTGCCCTCCTGGGATTCGGTCAGCCCTGCCAACAGCCCCCTCCGACATTGGTCAGGTACATCCGTCGCGTGCTGCCCATTCAATAGCAGACGTCTGACTCACCTCCCTGCAAGATGTCCCATCTCCTGTCACAGTGCATGGACCAGGAGCATAAAAATGAAATGGCTCTGCCCCCAAGTCCACTGAAGGATCCATCCAGATCATTCCTCTAAGAGGAAGGACACACTCAGTGTGTGTTCCACAGCACACTCTGCTTGTCGTCTGAAATTCATTAGGGGAAACTCAGTCCCCCAATCTGGTAGCAGATGGATTAAAATGACTGAAACCTCTTCTCTCATTTAGAATTCAGAAACTAATTTTCTTCATTTTATTTTATTTGCTCAAGGGAGATTTGAGGAGCATTTAGTCCACCCCTTTCTTCTACAACTAAGGAAACTGAGAGCTCAAGAAGCTACATAAAATAAGCCTACCAGGTCAGTCATTTCTCCATGTGAATCCTGCTCTTCTGAGTGTTCAATGGCTGATTCGTATTTTTTTTTCTTTTTTTTTTTTTTTCCTAACTCAAAGGGCCACATGACAATGGCTAAGAGGCCACTCTGAGAAGTTCAAAATGGCTCTTGGAGAGAGGGCCGCCTTGGCTCAGGGAGCCCTAAACATCTGAGAGGCAGAGAAGGCAAGTGTGGTGGTTTCCATGGTGACCAACGAGGAGCCCAGGTGCTTGTTCTAATGAGGTTGCTGGGCAGCCAGCACCTGGGCAGCAAAGACTGTGGGACATTCCAGAAAAACTCACACGCACAGAGCTACGCAGATAAAACCTGAGCAAGTGGCTAGCCTGCCAACAAGCCCTTCTCTCAGAGCAAGCAGCGTGTCTGGCCCTGTGCCAAGCTCTTTCCCACATATTATTTCATTTAATCATCACCAAAACCTTCTAAAGCAGATTTGAATTCTGTTCCCTTTAGCCAGTGGGTAAACTGAGGCAACTTTCCCAGAATCACGGGGCTTATCAATGCAACCCCAGACCAGCTACAGTGCCTCAGTCAAAACACAACACGCTCTCAAACTGCTGGCCAGAAGCTTTCCTGCCTTCTGCTAAAGAAAAGTATAAATCATGATTTCAGAGACAGGCGTAAGGTCAAAACTTGAGAGTTCTTATCCTGTGGGGGTAAGGGGAGCACAGCTTTAGGACTCACCATCTACTGTCTTCACCCATCATTGCCAGATTCCAAAATGGTCAACAAACATATGATAAAATGTTCAACATCTGTAGCAAGTAGAGAAATGCAAACTAAAACTACAATGAGATTCCATCTTACTCCAGTCAGAGTGGCAATTATCAAGAATACAAGTAACAATAAATGTTGGCAAGATGTGGGGGAAAGGTTGCTAGTGGGACTGCAAATTGGTAAATTGCTCTGGAAAGCAGTATGGAAATTCCTCAGAAAAATAGGAACGGAACCACTATTTGACCCAGTTATCCCACTCCTCAGTATATATCCAAAGGACTTTAAATCAGCATACTACAGCAATGCAGCCACATCAATATTCATAGCAGCTCAATTCACAATAGCTAAGCTATGGAACCAACCTAGGTGCCCTTCAACAGATGAATGGATAAAGAAAATGTGGTATATATATATATACAATGGAATATTACTCAGCCACTAAGAAGAATAACATTTGCCAATAAATGGATGGATCTGGAGACTATCCTGCTAAGTGAAGTCAGTCAGTCCCAAAAAAACAAAGTTTTCTCCAAAAGATGGAAGCTAACTCACCATAAAGTCAGGGGCATTGAGGGGAAGAGTAGAAGTACAGTAGATTAGACAATGGGGAATAAGGGAAGAAAGGGAGACAAGCAAAGGAAAGACAATGGAATGAATCTGATATAGTTTTCCATGTACATCCATAAGAATGGGACTCTAACTAGAATCAGATATATTCCATTCTTGTATAATTATATCAAAATGGATTCTGCTGTCATATATAACTAAACATAATCAATTTAAAAATCAAAATAAAACCCCCCAAAAATGTTATTTTTAAAAAATTAAGTCATCTGCCAGTGGCTCACACCTTTAATCCCGGTGACTTGGTGAGGCTGAGGCAGGAGGATCACAAGTTCAAGGTCAGCCTCAGCAATTTAGCAAGAACCCCATCTCAAATTTAAAATTTAAAAAAGCTGGGATGTAGCTCAGTAATACAGTGCCCCTGGGTTCAATGCACAGTACTGCCAATTAACAAATAATAATAATAATAAGTCATCATAAGAAAGAACTTCCTGATGAAGATCTAGAATATTTGAATTAGGCCAACACTGAATAAGATAGCAGAAATGACCTTAAGCCTATGTTAAACAAGAGTCTCAGGAAAGCATATGAACAGGTGCCAACTAAAGGTGTTGGGAACCTCAGTCCAATAACAAGCACCCCACATGCCTGTCACTGGTGCTAGGCACATCACCTTTAGTAAACAAATTCCATAGCTTGAGATTTCTGTCCGTCGTGTAAAGGTAAATATTTCCAAGAGGGGAAAAAAAAAAAAACTCACTAAGGCAATAGCATCCTGTACCCCTTAGCATGAAGTATGCTCTGTGTGTCATTACTGAGGGGACACTCAGCAGTGGTAGGCAGAACAGGGAGGAGCCCCGAGGAGAGAGGCACAGAAGGTTCAGAGAAGGCTGGTCTCAAAGAAACCAGGATCCGCCTAGAGACACTCTAGGAATACAAAGGAGTGGAGGAGCTCAAGTGGCAAAGTGGATGGATTTACAATTCTCTGCTTCATGGAAAAACACTAAGGAAACCATCTTCCATCTTTAAGGAGAGCTAAATGCTATGGTTTGAATGAGTCCCCTCCAAGATTCAGGTATTGAAACTTAATGGTCCATATGCTAGTACTAAGAGGTGAGGCCTTTAAAAGGTGATTAGCTTCTGAGGGCTCCACCTCATGAATCAGAATAAGGCCCTTATACAAGAGGTCTCATGCAGTGTTACATCCTTCTCACCTTCCATCCCCCCTGCTGTATGAGGACTCAACAATCTTCTCTTCCAGAGGATGCCACTAGAAGCCACCAGCTTGAAAGGTGAGAACAGGCCCCTCACCAGACAACCAATCCTGCCAGCACCTTGATCTCAGATTCCAAGCCTCCGAACTATGAGAAATAAATTTCCTTCTCTACAATCCACCCTGTCTCAGGAATTTTGTTATAGCAGCATAAACAGACTAAGACACTGAGTATGCCTCACCTCTTCACAAAAGCTGGGTTGGCAAATTCATACTTAACCCTCTTGTCTCTTCATCCCTGAAATACCTCTCTATTGTAGGAAGCTATTCAAACAACAGGGCATTTAGGCACAGTACCTATGATTGCCATTGGTTAAAATGGAAAACCCAATCTTAACGTTACACACTATTTCATTAAAAATGAATGGTGCCCCTGATAAGGCCTTCTGAATCCTACTGGAGTGAAGCCAACCAGATGGCAGACGTTAAAGTTAAATAGATGCAGTACTCACTCGAAAGACCTTCTCCACTCTTGCAATGCTTTTCCCAAAGATGGTTCCAAGTTGGTCTCCAATTCCAGCCAATAAGAAACCAAAGAGTGGAATCCCAAAGATGGCATATAAAATACAAAAGATTTTGCCTCCTTCAGTGCTTGGAGCAATATTCCCATACCCTGGTGAGAAATATCAGAAAGAGAGAGGAAGACAGGTGAAATGGAAGAGAAAGTAGACTATTGACCAAAGAATCCACAGACTTTTTTTTTTTTAAAGATTTGTTCATCTCCCCCACTTCATGAGTCTTAGGGAATAGAATTCCATTTTGAAGGCCATATACGAAACATTGTTCCAAGTTTAAATAGTTTTAAGTTTTCATAAATCTTAAGAAATTATTTGTGTCCACCCAGAATTGCATTTCTGATAGTGAATGTTGCTCTTCAGAAACAACAAACATCATGGACACGATTGGTTTGGGTAAACTGAACATCTGGAAAGGTTTCACCATTGCCTGTTTAGATTAGACAGGGCTTCTTCTGTACAGTACTATCTGGTGGGCATCCTCTTCACCTGGATGGACTGTGGCTGTCTTCAACATCTGCTTTTGTAGAGTAAGGGGTGCTGACCATTGGAGAGGAAATCTAGTCTATTTCAAACTCAGATAGGACCTATGATTTCTACAGTCCTACCCTGGGAAGCCGGGCAACAGTAAACAGAAACAAAGATTTTGTGCCTCTTTCCCCATTGACGGGGAAGTCTAGCAGTGCCTGGCTCTTTTTTTCTCTTTACTGGGAACTCCACACCATCTCTGAGTTCTGCCTCTCCACCCACCACTTCTTGCACCAAGGGCAAGCAGTACTTGATAAATGTTTGCTGGTGAAGTGGAGGTCTGAATACAAGCGAATCCTTCTATGAATGTGAATTTTTAAAAATGCTTTGAAAACTCCAATTTCTGCATGCTTAAGAGTTTTGCATTTATATAAGTAGCTAAACTGTATACTGGGCCCATTCTATATGAATGGGGCTTAAAAAAAAAAGTATTACTGGGAGAAAAAAGCTTATAGGGTTAGCACAATTTACATAGGACAAGAGCCTCAATTATTTGTTGTTTATTTTCATGCCAGTTAGCATCACAATTTTTTTAAAAATATTTATTCTTAAGTTTTTAGGTGGATACAACATCTTTGCTTTACATTTATGTGGTGCTGAGGATGGAACCCAGTGCCTTGTGCATGCTAGGCGATGAGCACTCTACCAGGGAGCCACAACCCCAGGCCCCAGCATCACAATCTTATGCTGATGAGTCTGGTCCCTGCACCACTCTTCCAAATTTGGGTAGCTCCTGTGGGGCCTGTTTCTGAATCTAAGTCATGTGTCAGTTATTGGGTCCACAGTCATGAACACACTGGGAATGAAGCAAAGCATAGCACAGAATGATGCTAAGGACTGTCTATCAGTCATTCTCCTGCAGACCCAGAGGGCTTGCTGATGACTTTGCCCTTTGCAGATGAGTCACTCGGCTATTTTCCTTCTCAATTTTCTGTCCAGAATCACTCAAACCTCTTATCACAAATTATTTAAATTTCTATTTCTTAAATGAGTGTTCAAGCAAGACTTTCTAATCTTATATTTCTTTTTTTCACCGCCATTTTGATTTAAACAGGCAAAAAAAAAAAAAGTTTGGTAACTTTTCTCAAGTGTTTTCAGGAATTTAGGAAAAATAATTTTGCCAAGCATTCTCCTCTAGAATACTCTGAATTACATTAATCTAGCCCTGTTGGAAAGGAAAAAATATTGGGCTTCTACCATGTCACTTTGTACTGGGTTCATGATGACCCTTGGAAACATTCTAGAAACTTGTGGAGATATTAAAGACTCTAGCTTGACCGTCTCACAATTGTCCAATCTTAGGGAAAATAGATTTCCTTTTAGTCTGAGTGTTACAGAAAGAAACATATTGCAGATGCAGGCAAATTGAAGCTTTGAACCTGATGCAAATGCATTGGCATATGAGGCACAAGAACTATGTGCTTCCTCCAGCATTCAGAGACGACCCCTTATCTACCTCCTGGGTAAAGGACTGTGCTCAGGGCACATCAGTGTCGCCCAAGGAGCCTCAGATAGAAGTGAGGAGATGGAGACTTATTTGACCGTATGCTATCAGGTTGTCCTTAGACCCACTCAACCTCTCCTAGTGGTGGAGAGATTTTTTTTTTTAAATGCAGGGAAAAATCAGCAAACTGTAAAGTACTATGCCAATGCAAAAAATAGATATATATCATTATTATTATTACAATTGCTAGAGTTTTCAGGCTAAAACACTATAACAAAATTAAAGGAAATTCTTAGACACGTGCACTCGTAATTATAAGTCTTTAAATATATTTTACAGCCTCTTTCTTTAGAGACTTGCTCCATAGGGGACAGAATGTGATCTCCATTCTTGAGCAGTGCTACATCTCAGGCACAGGCCTGTGTGTATCTGTGTTCCATGCCTCTGGTGATCTATATGGAGGGACTGTTCGACCCTCCACACTGTCACTCTGGGAAAATTCTAGAATTTGCACTTTGGAGCTTTTCTCAGAGGCAATGACAAGTCCCCATTCCTGGATTTGGGGCTCTAGCTGTACCAGGCCTGCTGAGCTGTCCTGCCCATCCTTCCAGAATGCTTGGTGAAATTCTGAAGTAAGGTTTGAACATTACATTGTGGCTCTAGAACTAGAGATGGCGTGGGTTCCTGCTCTGACTTTTCCATTTACTGGCCCTAGATCTGGGCAAGTTATTCAATCTCCCTGCCTCACTGCCTTCCTCTGAAAGATGGAACTATTAAATCACCTATCTGTAAGCCTTTAAAGATTAAATGAGTTACATGTGAAGCATGAGTTACACCTGAAGATTAAATACAAGCAAAGCATAGTAGAAAGCAAGCACTCAGTAAGGGTTCGCAGTTATCATCTGGCCCTGTGGTTTTATGTGGAAAGGGATCACTCCTAAGCAATACGACTACAGAAAAATTAAGCAGCCCCAGGGAAAAACAGATGGTTGGTTCCTATTTTCCTTCTGGCAACCCCGCTGTTCTCCCATAGCACCAGGACAAGAGACAAAATGTCTGTACCTTGAGCTGGGCTGACTCAATGATTCAGGTGGGCCCACGACTGGATCTGAGGTGTGGGTGTGTCTTGGACAGCTAGAGGCAATCAAGGCTGAGAAATAAGTGGGGTGACAGTTGCTGGACATGCAATTGTTCGTAGAACAAGCCCAGAACACTAGAACTGGATTTAAGTAAAGCACAAGGTGTCCACGAAGTTCCTCCATCAAATGCCTTATGGTGATTTTCAGCAAAAGACACAGTCCAGTAGGGACACACCCAAAGAAGCTGTTACCAATGAGCAGGACCAGGGGTGCCTCAGCTCTGTCACCATGAGCTAGAAGACAGTCCCATGTCTTTTGTGAAGAGAGCTGGTGTTTGAAGAGGATTCATGACCAAGACACACAACACACATAGAAGCTTCCATTTGCTATTTACACATCAAAGTTAAATCTTTACCAAGCTATGTAGTGTTCAGTCCCCGCTGTTTGGTTAAGAGTGTGCAGGCAGTCTGCCTGATGGATGTACAAACTGCAATCACACCAGGCCTCACTCTGAGAAGGCCTGCATGCTTGGTTTAATGCTCTCCTGTAGCCAGGAGATGTTCTTTTTAAAAAGGGAATGTATTTTCATTCTGCACTGGGCCCCACAAATTAAGTAGTTGGTCCTGGTGAATGACCCTGGGTTCCATTGCTTACTAACTATGAGATAATAGGCAAGTTACTTAACATCTCTGGGCCTTAGTCTTCCCAAAGATAAAAGTACAGAACCTACCTCGTGTTATTATTTCAGGATTAAATAAGATCATGTATGTGCAGCATAGAGCCCAATACCTAGTAAGCATTTAGTAAATATTAGGCTCAGTGACTGCTATTTCCATTGGCCCTGAGTTAAACAGCCAATCTAAATGCTGGATAAGTACAAGCAGCTGCCTCGATTTTTTTTTTTAAGGTATAATCCTTAACTGAGGCTGCAAGTGACACCATCACTGTCTATCTCCTGGGACCTGACCAAGGGCTCTCTTTGATGCAGGTAGAGCCAGCTGACCCAATCTGAAAGTGCCTCAAAGACTAAAATCTAATTGCATTTCATAGCTGTTGGTAAGAATGAAATAATTTGCTGCCCTTCTACAAATTATGGTTTATGGAAAAGCATCTTCACAAAGAATGAGCATCGTTGCTCAAGTTTAGAAAAGCTATTTGCTAGGAATCCAGTAGCAGAGTCAACAATCAAAGACAGATGGGACTTTCTTGCATCAGAATTAGTTATGGAGCAAAGAAAAAGAGTGCAGGGTACCCTCGGCAAAGACTGAGCAGAATCTGGTCTTCCTTCTGGTGTGGCTACTGGTTGCAGAAATGTGAAAATATATTCTCTTTGCTTTACAGTTGTCTCTTAATTTTCATAGGGGATTGAGTCCAGGACCCTCTGCAGATAGCAAAATCCACAGGTACGCAAGTCCTTTCTATAAAATGGCTTAGTATTTGCACATAAACCTATGTACATCCTTCCACATACTTTGTTTTTTAAAATTGCTTTAGTTGTAAATGGACATAATACCTTTGTTTTGTTTAATTATTTTTATGTGGTGCTGAGGATCAAACCCAGTGCCTTATATATGCTAGGCAAATGCTCTGCCACTGAGCTACAAGCACCCAGCCCCTTCCATGTAATTTAAATTACCTCTAAATTACTTGTAACACCTAATGCAATGCAAATACTATGCAAATAATTGTTATTCTATATTGTTTAGGAAAAACCTTCTGTACACATTCAATACAGATGCGAGGTTTTTTTTTTCTTTTGAATATATTCGTTGCACAGTTGGTTGAACCCATGGATATGGAGGGTCAACTATACAAGTATAAGTTTTTCCAATTATCTCAGCATGAGAAAATCTTTTTTAAAAAGAAGTATTTGATATCCTCAGATAAAAGAAACCTCTGAAATTGAGTAGTAGTACTGCTTTTCAGAAAAGACCTTATTATTCCTGAGATATCTCTCTCATCTCTCTCTCTCTCTCTCTCTCTCTCTCTCTCTCTCTCTCTCTCTCCCTCTCCATTCTAAATAATGAGCATTTTTTTCCTTGCATAT